ACCCACCCTGGGAGACACACCCACCCTGGGAGACACCCTGGGAGACACACCCACCCTGGGAGACACCCTGGGAGACACACCCACCCTGGGAGACACACCCACCCTGGGAGACACCCTGGGAGACACACCCACCCTGGGAGACACACCCACCCTGGGAGACACCCTGGGAGACACGCCCACCCTGGGAGACACACCCACCCTGGGAGACACACCCACCATGCTGGGAGGGCTGCATGACGTCACCACCGTTGACGGGAGGGTTGGAGAGCGGAGGCAGAGCCACCTGGCGGTCGTTGTAGAGGTCGGTGCCTTGGGGTCCGGACACCACATACTCTCCCTTCTCCTGCAACATACACAACATACTCGTTAAGTCACGCCAACATCAACAACATACACATAAACTACCACCAACATACACAACATACACAATAACTACCATTTAAGAGGTATGGAAAGGTACTTCACTTGTCCTCTCACTTAAAACGTCGCATTTGTTTACGAAATATTGAGATTGAGCACTTGGTATCTATTACCTGGATTTACCTGAGGGCCACTCTATAGTGGCCTCGGTGAGGGCAGGAAGCCGACGGCTTGTCAAAGGTCCCCTTCCCCATTTGTAATGACTTAAGAAACAACCGTTAAAATTCAAATTAAATTTGAAAGCAAACTGTCATCATTTCAAAAATCATAGACGCAGTTAAGGTAAAATTAGACGTAGAAGGTGATTAGTGTTTCTTGAGTTTGTTGGGAGACTTATAGACGGTTAGTCAACTATGGTGTTAAGAGGAGATATGTGCGGCTGGTTATAGGAGCAAACATTAACTTGTTCTGTCGCCCTGAAAGGTCCTATGAGGGCCTGTAAGGTCCTGTATGGTCCTGTGAGGGCCTGTGTGGCCCTGTGAGGGCTTGTGTGGCCCTGTGAGGGCCTGTGTGGCTCTGTGAGGGCCTGTGTGGCCCTGTGAGGGCCTGTGTGGCCCTGTGAGGGCCTGTGTGGCCCTGTGAGGGCCTGTGTGGCCCTGTGAGGGCCTGTGTGGCCCTGTGAGGGCCTGTGTGGCCCTGTGTGGCCCTGTGAGGGCTGGTGTGGCCCTGTGAGGGCCTGTGTGGCCCTGTGAGGGCCTGTGTGGCCCTGTGTGGCCCTGTGAGGGCCTGTGTGGCCCTGTGAGGGCCTGTGTGGCCCTGTGAGGGCCTGTGTGGCCCTGTGAGGGCCTGTGTGGCCCTGGTGTGCGTGTGTTTACATCTTAGGTAAGGCTGGAGATGGCACTGCACGCCACCAGGGGGGAAGGGGGAACTACTGTGTAAATCTTGAGGACTTTTAGTGGTTGGATTTTCTGACTGGAGTTGTTTATCTTCGGCCAGAGCAGCGCGGGAACACGCCGCCTCCGCTCCTGATGCTGCACTGGACCAGCCCACCTCAACCATTTGTCCGCCGGGGCATTGAGGCTGCATTGCTCTAGTGGACGCAGCGCCTCTTTTGGCGGACGCAGCGCCTCTTTTGGTGAACGCAGCGCCTCTACTGGTGGACGCAATGCCCCTGGCTGAGTGGTGGTAGGCGTGGCCGTGACCTACACACCACCTGGTCGATACCAGTTGGAAACTTGGCCACGCCAGAGTTGACCCCACTGGTACTGCCCTCCCTCCCCCCCCCTCCCCCCCCATCCATCCACCCCCCCCCATCCATCCACCCCCCCCCCATCCATCCACCACATCCACAGTGACTCCACCAGCCACCAGTTAGGCCTTAATTACCTTCTACAATCAGTCTCTCCGATCTTAACTACCATACACAGATAGTCACGTCTTTAAGAGCTACTAAATTAGATAAGCACAAGAGGCTAAGTCTTTAATAATGTCGAGTTTAGTTCAAACTACGCCACGCGTTTTGGAGGTTAATTGTACTGTAGTGGTTGGCGTGATGCATGTATAATGTCCTCAACTTCTGCTCCTCTCCCTTTTTCCTCTATTTTTTTCATTGTGTGTTCATTCAATTTATCCCTCTTACATGTTCTCTTCTCCTTCCCTCCTCTCGTTCTTTCTCCTTCCTTGCACTGTTCCTCCCTTTCGTACAGCCAACCGTAGCAAGTGCTGACCACAACAGATCCGTCTCTCAAGATACCAATTCATTGTCACTAATTACATAAACGTCAACTGTAACTCTGCCGATAACAGCATATGTTGTTGGTTCAGGTATGTGTGTGTTCAATAATACCAACATATGTTGTTAGTTCAGGTATGTGTGTGTTCAATAATACCAACATATGTTGTTAGTTCAGGTATGTGTGTGTTCAATAATACCAACATATGTTGGGGCTCAGGTATGTCTGTGTTCAATAATACCAACATATGTTGTTAGCTCAGGTATGTGTGTGTTCAATAATACCAACATATGTTGTTAGTTCAGGTATGTGTGTGTTCAATAATACCAACATATGTTGTTAGCTCAGGTATGTGTGTGTTCAATAATACCAACATATGTTGTTAGCTCAGGTATGTGTGTGTTCAATAATACCAACATATGTTGTTAGCTCAGGTATGTGTGTGTTCAATAATACCAACATATGTTGTTAGCTCAGGTAAGTGTGTGTTCAATAATACCAACATATGTTGTTAGCTCAGGTATGTGTGTGTTCAATAATACCAACATATGTTGTTAGCTCAGGTATGTGTGTGTTCAATAATACCAACATATGTTGTTAGTTCAGGTATGTGTGTGTTCAATAATACCAACATATGTTGTTAGCTGAGGTATGTGTGTGTTCAATAATACCAACATATGTTGGGGCTCAGGTGAGCATGAGTTCAAAACTATGTTCAGTAGTTAAAAATAATCACATTGAAATATTAACACAGTTAATAAATAATAATTACCAGAATACCATAACAGTGCAGTAATATACTGTGAATTTATTAAGGAAATTCTGCAAGTAAAGAAGATCAGAGAATAATAACAGTCGTTCGTAGTTATTACGAGCCATAACTAGTCATTACCAGGCATGGTTGACAAGGTGATTGTAACTGCCAGATCTTGGTGTGCTTGGATCATGACTGTCAAGGCCTTGTACCCTCTCCCCCCTCTCCTTGCTCAGTTGATCTTAACACAATGAGTTTAGGAATGATAAAGCAAACATGTTGACCAGACCACACACTAGAAAGTGAAGGGACGACGACGACATTCACAATCGACTTGAGAATGGTCCAGGACGGACCGAAACGTCGTCGTCGTCCCTTCACCTTCTAGTGTGTGGTCTGGTCAACATACTTTAGCCACGTTATTGTGACTCATCGCCTGTATAAAGCAAACATATTTCTCTGAGTAAATTTGAACAAGTGCCAGCTAGTGTGATGGCTCTTGACACACATACACAGTGCCTCAGAGAGTGCCACACAGTGCCACGCAATTTCACACGGTGTCACTGAATGCACGCTTGCGTCTGGTAGACGCAAGAGAACGCAAGTGTACTGGATACAGGAATGCAAGGGGAACCAACTAATGAACCATAGTATGGCAAGTTTCTAACGATGCTTACTGCAACGAATATGTCGAAGAAATCATTAATGCGAGTGAATCGCAATGCTACCTCTGATGAAACGACCGTACCATGAGGAACTGCAGTATCCGTCACATCTATTGAACTCTTCTACAGGAACTTGATTTCAACGGCTCACGAGACGAAGCAAAATCCCGAAAGACATCATTTTGCGACGCTAATCAGACGACACTGACGACGTTTGAGCACGAGAGCAGGAAGAGCTCCACCAGGCGACAAGTCTTCGGCACCCAAGGCCTGGTAATGTGTGTAACATGAGGTCTGTGCCTCCACATGGCCCTATGTGGTCTGTGCCTCCACATGGCCCCATGTGGTCTGTGCCTCCACATGGGGACTGTCAGCCACAACATATAAACAAGGCCCCCATCAAAGATCACTCACATCATGTACATACACAATCAGATCATCATGAGAAGTACTCGTCACATCAGTGGTACGCTACAAGCTCATTACTTTATTATGCACTCCATGCCCATTCAGTGGGCGGTGGTGGAGTGGGTTACAGAGGAACATAATGGGTTCAGGAACTGAACCCCATAGTTCGTTTAGCTAAGCAAGTGATAATCTTTTGAAGCTACTTATGCAATTGTTAATGTTGCATATACATGTACATATATATATTTCATATACACAAATACATATACATATCAATACTATTTTTATATCACAAGATTCGACGGGCTGACGAAGCCCGTCTCCGGCTGGCTACGAAGACAGGACAGGACAGTTCTGTCCATTGCTTACCTAAATGTAATTCCATTGACCCAAAGTATGAAATAACTGCCATAAAACAGTGAGGAGCTGTATGTAATTATCTTTATCCTCATGTAATTCAGTCATGCGAAACAAAACATTTTAATAAACTATATATGACAAATCTTTGGAACCGGAAAGAAGAATCGCACCATCGTCTTGATCTACCCAGACGCAGGTTCGATCCTCCGTCCTTACTATAAAGTTTTCTCACACACACATATATATATATATATATATATATATATATATATATATATATATATATATATATATATATATATATATATATATATATATATATATATATAATCACGATATTGTGATTTTATTGTGTGTACAACATATATTTATCGACCTTACCTGAGAGGGACCCATCGCTGACTTGGTAAGGAGTCGTAGTTCGTCGAGTAGAGAATCAGATCGCTTCCCAGGAGAGTTATAAACGTTCTCTGATGCTCCTCTGTGAGTCTCTCTCCCCCTTCATTGCCTTAGTCATAATGTGGAAACTTCCTGAATCAGTTCAACCCGCCACAAACAACAACGTTTCCAAATCACTTGATCCTTGGGATCAGCCCTTCAATGTTTGCATCTCCATGGTCGTTCCTTCTCATTGTGGGCTCTGTCCAATACTGTAATGTGATTGGCTGGTCTCCCTGCACGTTCAGTCGCTCAATAGTTGTTTGCTAGACGCTAAAAATGTCACTTCTGTTCCATCAAAATATTCACTCCAATATAATAATATATAATTATAATATACACCTATCGTCCCGGCGCCCAGTAGGAATAGCAAACAAAATCTATCGAAAAGTTAAAAAGGTGGATGATTAATTAGTATCGTCATTGTGAAGTGGCCAGGTGTGGTACCCAGGCCAGGTGTGGTACCCAGGCCAGGTGTGGTACCCAGACCAGCTGTGGTACCCAGACCAGGTGTGGTATCCAAGCCACGTGTGGTACCCAGGCCAGGTGTTGTACCCAGGCCAGGTGTGGTATCCAAGCCAGGAGTGGTACCCAGGCCAGGTGTGATACCCAGGCCAGGTGTGGTACCCAGGCCAGGAGTGGTACCCAAGCCACGTGTGGTACCCAGACCAGGTATGAGGCCTGCTAGGCCATGTGTATTTCTTCTGTGATGCTGGAGGAGTGTACAGAAGCCCACCAGTTAACAAGTGACCTTGTATGTCGGCCCACCAGTTGTTAAAAAAGTCCCTACAAGTGGTCAGGCGAACCTTGACGTAACACACTCCAAGTTTATGTTAAGTTCGTCATACTCAAACTTCGGTAGCCATGGATACTTAAGTTGTGTTGAAGGGATCACAGTGTGCTGACGGGGGTCACAGTGTGTTGACGGGGGTCACAGTGTTGACGGGGATCACAGTGTGTTGACGGGGATCACAGTGTGTTGACGGGGGTCACAGTGTGTTGACGGGGGTCACAGTGTGTTGACGGGGGTCACAGTGTGTTGACGGGGGTCACAGTGTGTTGACGGGGGTCACAGTGTGTTGACGGGGGTCACAGTGTGTTGACGGGGGTCACAGTGTGTTGACGGGGGTCACTGTGTACTTGTGCCCTGGTGATCCCCAAACTTAGAGTGGTGCTTAAATATTCCAACTGAAAAAGCTGAATTTGGAGGCCAACAGCCAATAGAATCACGGGGTGGGGTGCTGTGTCCAGCCTTGTGTATGTGTGTGTATGCGTGTATGTGTATGTATGCGTGCATGTGTATGTATGCGTGTATGTGTATGTATGCGTGCATGTGTATGTATGCGTGCATGTGGTGTATATGCGTGTATGCTGCTGTTTCCTGCAGCCTGATATTAATAAATTACAGAGACGTTATAATATACAACGATAACATGGTGTATTTGTGACATGAAAATACGAGGTATATATAGTATGATGTATTACTGCATTACTGTTTAATTATACATCTCTATATAATATTTCATAGGCTTATATTTTCCCTAAACCGATTCTTAGGGTTTATGTATATATATATATATATATATATATATATATATATATATATATATATATATATATATATATTTTTTGCAACAGTTACGAATAAAATATAGATTGTTCCCCTCTGCAATTCTCAGCGCGGGTGATATCTTGTATCTATATTTCGAACGCTAACCTGTCATTCCCAACCCCCCCCCCCCCTCCCTACAACCCCACCAAACACCTCCCCCCTGCCTACAACCCCCCGAACACCCCCCTCCCTACAACCCCACCAAACACCTCCCCCCCTGCCTACAACCCCCCGAACACCCCCCTCCCTACAACCCCCCGAACACCCCCCTCCCTACAACCCCCCGAACACCCCCCTCCCCCAAATGGTTCTGGGGTCAGGTGAGGAATGCCTCGAGCGTTCCCAAGGGGCTTAACCCACTAAATATGAGACTGCATCATATGTGATAAAGTTGTGAAAGTTTATGTTAGTTGTGAGGTAGACTCATGCCGCGCTGCTGTCAACAGTTCCATAGATCTGTTCGTGCAGGCATGCTGTCGGCACAGATTTATGTTTGTGTGGTCAGGGAAGTGAACACAGTGATGAGCGTATCTGTGAAGGGAAGGGAACTATCAGGGGGAAAGCGCCAAGCTATTACGACTATATAGCACTGGGAAGGGGGGTCAGGATAAGGATTTGGGATGGGAATGGTGGTCCAACCACTTGGACGGTCGGGGATTGAACGCCGACCTGCATGAAACGAGACCGTCGCTCTACCGTCCAGCCCAAGTGATGAACGTATCTTAAAACTAAATACACAACTGTGTTTAATACAAGGAGACTCTTTTTAATGTATATACTAGGAGAGGTGTCCGGCGGTGCCCGGGACACTGTGTCTGTACCCGAACCCCTTCACTCCCCCATAAACCCCACCCCTTTTTCCCCTGCAACCTCCAATAGACAAACATTTCCATTCATTTATATAGAAGAGGTACCCAGCTGCACCCGGGTCTCTTTCCCTGATTTCCTCCCACTTCCCCAATCTTCCCCTCCATCTCCCCCTTGTTCCACCTCCCACAAATAAAAATGTGAAAATGAACTTTGGGGAGTTAATTTTTCAATTACCCTCGAAGTTAAGAAAAACGTAAGAAATATTGAGAAGATTCGTGTTAGAAACATTTATCTTACCCTTTCGGTCATATTCAACAACACACACACACACACACACACACACACACACACACACACACACACACACACACACACATATATATATATATATATATATATATATATATATATATATATATATATATATATATATATATATCCTGGAATTTAGTAAATTAGCATCAACTTCATGTATATAAATACAAAAATTCTTAAGATATACTCATTGAATTATAGTGAATGACTTTAAAACACTACATAATCACCCAACAGAGATAACGTTTATAAGGTAAGGCCGTAACAATCACGCCAGGGGTTAAGGAATGACATTGCGTGAGCCGCACTATTATCTAATACGTCAACAATACGAGCCCTGCGAACTAGGTTGAAGATTATGTGTGTGTGTGTGTGTGTGTAATTGGCTGGGGGGAATAATTGGGGTCGTTTAGTCGTGCCAGGATTTCACACACCAGCCATGTTGACCACCACATACCAGCCATGTTGAGCGCCACATACCAGCCATGTTGAGCACCACATACCAGCCATACTGACTTTCCCGGGTCACAGAGCTGAGACCCTACCGTGAGCCCCTCACCAAAGTCGCCCGTGCACACGCTTACGACATCTATACAGCTCGATCGTGGAGAGAAAACATTCGGTGTTTACTAAACAGTTTACGATCATCGCAGAGTTACGAGGACGACCTCTGAGAGCGTACGAGCTCGTAAATAGTAAATCGATCAGTAACACATCCTGCGGTAAACTCATTCATCAGCAAGTCATCCTGCAGTAAACTCATTCATCAGCAAGTCATCCTGCAGTAAACTCATTCATCAACACTTCACAATCAGGGAGCCGCATCTTTACATTTCTTTCCGCGATGTATGGAACAAATTACCTGGCAGGGTCATTAATACACGTGGGAGCCCTGGAGTGTTTCAAGCGTAGGTGAAACCTATAGACGAATGAGGTTGGGGTGGATATAAATAGCAGCTGCCTCGTATAGGCCAATAGGTCCTTCTACAGTATCAATTACTCTCAGGTCATTACGACACTGCTCTGAGTAATACTGATCAGGGGCATTACCACATCTCATTGATGTCTAAATTAGCACAAGTGCACCAGGCTGCAGACCCGTGACCTCATCAAAGGTCACCAAGCACTGAAGGACGGTGACCTCACACACACTCACAGTTCCGGAAACCACTAATCTATTATAAGTCGAAACTTTATCACCTCGACGCCTGATCACATAAGATAAGCTTACTTCAGATGTTGATATTGCATTGTTGCAACCGGTCAATATTTTTTATGCAAAGTGAGAAGTTTTTTTGAGATAAAAGGCAGTGAAAATTATTGTTATCTAGAAAGGGACAGATAGTTAATTAGGAAGATGTGTGAAGGTGATTGGTTGTTATCTGAGGATGTAATAGGTTGCTATCTGGGGAGGGGATGGGTAGTTATCTATTTAGATGACAGGTAGTTAGCTAGGGAAACGTTAGTTAGCTGTATAAACGTTAACGGGAAGTCACGTGATCAGGAAATGTTCCTGTACTCCACGGCTCCTGTAGTGACACTGACAGCCGTAGCTACACTACTGTATTCAACCAGCTTCCCGGTACATAAACTAGTACACTACCGGGACACGGTACCAGTAATGATAACTTTGTGCAGTTTAACTTCGTTTTTAAATGTTATCAACAGTTTGCATACCACAGCCGTAATGTTACTTAAATACACACATTTCCCTCACTCATACTGTCACGTATAACATTCCCCTCGGTACACGGAGAAATCACAGTAACATGATATATAAATGAACAATAACGTGATACATAAATGAAAAAATGCACAGGAACCGTGATGAGGATTTCACACAAGTTCCCCCCAATGCATTAACGAGGGGAGACGTTATTACTAACTCTATACATCGTTACAATAATATAACAGCCGATGCTTACCCCAAGACGTAGCCGCGTCCTACCTATGAAATACTTGCCCACTCCCGTAACGCAGACCAGTAACGCTAACCCGGAAGCAGCGCCGCTGCCACGCCGGCAACTAGACTACCTTCGTAACCAAACCTGTTCATTGACGCAACCCAAACAACCCTTTAACACGCATGACACTTTGTTCCTGTGGATTGACTTCTCAGTAAACACGAGACACGTCAGTCCTGTTTACAGTCTGTTTATCAGTCCAGCTGGGAGTGCACGCGGCCCGCCTCTCAACACACACGTGACGGCCTCCTGGGGGGGTCGAAGCCAACGTACTGGCCATAGCTGTCTTGGGGGGCTGGGAGAGAGAGAGAGAGAGACACCCACACCCGGCGCTCGATGGAAGGCGACTGGCGTAGAACCCCGCCAACACTGCTACTAGGTTATACACCTCGTGGGGCGGGCAGGGGTCGGACGTGATGGGACGGGGTAGGGCGGTGCGTGATAGGTACACGGTTAATGTGATGGGGTAGTGGGGTAGGGGGGCGCTGACCTTGAACTGGGTGGGGGGGGGCCGCTGGATAGTTGGAGACGGGGAAAATAGGGTGGTGGGGAGGGGGCGGTATACTTAATGAGCAATTAAA